AGACCTTAAACTGTGGGCTCTGGAGTCAGAATAACTGGGTTCAAATTCTTGCTAGATATGAGACTTGGCCTCTCTGTGGCTCTGATGAGAAATTTCTCGTGACCTCAGTTCTCATCTGGAAAGTGAGACTGATAGAGCCAACCTCTTCGTTAGGAAGACGAAATGAAAGAATGCACACAAAAGCAAGCATAGTGGATGGTAAAGGACACCTTTCCAAATGTCAATTCTTATCATCACCCCTGGAAGGGAGCGGATGACTGATGGGTCTGAAAATGGCCAAGATGAGGATAAGGGGAATAGCCCATACCGCTTTCCCTGCCCTCCCTGGGATAGAGGAGCAGGGACAGAAGGGACTGGCCCCTATGAGCCTGGCCAGGGCATGGAGTCCTCCAGAGTGGGACCAGCACCCTGTGAGGAGGGCAGAATCTGTCCAACCCCCACACATCTGGCTCCCCTGGTGATCGGTTCACAGGGCAGGGACAGCTCCCAGTGCCTCCCAGTACCTCATCCCTGACTTCCCACTTCCACACTTTGGCCATCAAAACTGCTTTAAATCCTGGGTCATCTCTTTCAAGAAGCTTTCTTTTCCTGTCTCCCACCCCTATCCCCAGACCAGTTGTGACTCTCTTTGGCTTCATTCCTAGAGCACTTGTCATCTTGTGCCTTGTCTGCTCTTACAGCTCCTATTTCAACCAACCTAATTTATTCATTCAGCAAACATGTACTGAGTGCCTTCTCTGCGCCAGGTACTGTTCTAGGCTCTGGATAGTGAACAAGCATGGAGCTAAGCGCTAACATTCTTGTAGGAGTGGAGGCATGAAGAAAATACACGGAGGCTCTCATCAGAGCCGCGGAGAGGCCAAGTCTCATATCTAGCAAGAGTTTTAGCCTGGGGTGCCTGGGTGGCTCAGTGGGTTACGCCTCTGCCTTTGGCTCAGGTCATGATCTCAGGGTCCTGGGATCGAGCCCCACATCAGGCTCTCTGCTCAGTGGGGAGCCTGCATCCCCCCCCCCCTGCCTGCCTCTCTGCCTACTTGTGATCCCTCTCTCTCTCTCAAATAAATAAATAAAATCTTAAAAAAAAAAGAATTTGAGCCCAGTTATGTCAGGGGTTGATGAGATTCTTGAAGACAAAACAGGGGGCAGAGAGGAAGGGGTGGGCAAGGTGGGGTCAGCGTGGTCAGGGAAGGCTCAGGAAAGAGAAAGGTGTTTCCCTGAGAGAGGAATGGGAGTCAATGTGGCAGCTGGAGGGCGAATGAGAGGAGAGGGGTAGGAGGGGGGCCAGAGAGGGAAGATTTTGATTTTTAACGTGTTATCGGAAACAGGAGTGTTATGATCAGAATTATTTTAGTTGAGATATAACATACATACAGTGAAATGTATAAATCTCACAACTCAGTGAACACACACACACACACACACACACACAACCATCTCCAGGTCAAGATCTAGAACATTTTTATCAGGGTGCCTGGCTGGCTCAGTCATTAGGCATCTGCCTTCGGCTCAGGTCATGATTCCAGGGTACTGGGATAGAGCCCTACATTGGGATCCCTGCTCGGCAAGAAGTCTGCTTCTCCCTCTCCCACTCCCTCTGCTTGTGTTCCCTCTTTCGCTGTGTCTCTCTCTGTCAAATAAATAATCTTTTTTTTTTAAAAGAACATTTTTATCACTACAAAGGGCTTCTTCATGCCCCTTCCCAGTCAATAGTACCCATCCCCATCAAGTAATCCCTATTTTTACTTCTCTCCCTATAGATTAATTTTGTCTGCTCTTGAACTTCTCTTAAACAAAATCCTACAATTTGTAGTGTCATGTATCTGGCTTTTTTTTTTTTTTTTAACTCAATATGTCTGTGAGCTTCATTCACACCGGTAGCATTTGTTCTTTGTTATTGCTATATAGTATTCCACTGTGAGAAGATAGCACACTCCACTTATCCATTCACCTGTTGAAGAACCTCTGAGCTTTTTCCGGTTTCACTGTCATTAATGAAAATGCTCTGATCGGGCGCCTGGGTGGCTCAGTGGGTTAAGGCCTCTGCCTTCGGCTCGGGTCATGATCTCAGGGTCCTGGGATCGAGGCCCGCATCGGGCTCTCTGCTCAGCGGGGAGCCTGCTTCCTCCTCTCTCTGCCTACTTGTGATCTCTCTCTCTCTCCCTCTCAAAAAAAAAAAAAAAAAAAAAAAAAAAAAAAAAAAAAAAAAAAAAAAGAAAATGCTCTGATCACTGTCGTCCAGGTCTTTTGGTAGACACAAGCACTGATTTCTCTTGGGAGTGGAAATTCTGGGTCATAGGTTAGGTGTACATTCAGTTTTGGTAGACACTGCCAAGCAGGTTTCCAAAGTGGTTGTATCAATTTACACTCCCCCCAATGGCCTATAAGGGTCCCAGTTGCTCCACATTCTCACGGATATTGGTATTGCCACTGTTTTTATTTTTTTTAAGATTTATTTATTTATTTGACAGAGAGAGAGACAGTGAGACAGGGGACACAAGCTGGGGGAGTGAGAGAGGGAGAAGCAGGCTTCCCGCTGAGCAGGGAGCCCGATGCGGGGCTCAATCCCAGGACCCCGGGATCATGACCTGAGCCGAAGGCAGACGCTTAACGACTGAGTGACCCAGGCGCCCCAGTTTTTATTTTTTAAAAAAGATTTTGTCGAGAAAGAGCAAAGGGAGGGGCTGAGGGAGGGGCAGAGGAAGAAGCAGGCTCTGAGCTGAGCAAAGAGCCTGATGTGGGACTCGATCCCAGGACCCTGGGATCACGACCTGAGCCGAAGGCAGACGCTTAACCAACTGAGCCACCCAGGCGTCCCTCACTGTTTCTAATTTTAGCCATTCATGATCTGATTCAGGTTTTTAACAGAGCAACCTGGCTACAGTGTGAGAACCAAGTGGAGGGATGAGGGTCGGGCTGGACAGAGGAAGCTGAGACGCCAGGTGGGAGGCTGGGGTGGTCATCCATGGGAGAATGGCGAGTGGTTTGCACCAGGTGGTCACAGAGGAGTCACAGAGAAGTGGACCAATCAGAATATGTTCTGGAATTGCAGCCAGCAGGACAGGCCGATGAGATGAGGGAGGGATGAGAGGGAGGTGTGGAGGGGCAAGTGCTGCTTTCTTGCCTTGAAAACCTGGGTGGATGGGAGGACCATCTCCTGAGATGCAGAAGACAGGGAGTAACAGGTGTGTGACATGGGAAGATGAGGGCTCCTGTGTGGCTTTTTGAATATGTATCATCACCTGAAGCTTAGGTTCTCCTTAGGACCGAACACTAGGCTCTAGCTGCTCCCCATCTTAGTGTAAGTGGTAGACATTGGTTGTGTGAATAGTGCACACTGTCTGAGTAGTGGCTGGTGGGATGTGCACGCTGCCTGCAGTGACATATCTCAGTTAGGGGCCCAGTTCTGTCCCCTCTCTCACCAGTGACTTGGCCCTTTTGCTAGGACTTCCCAGCTTCCACCTTCTGCCTTGACGGCTTTAGCATTTAACGAGCTCATGTGCCCGTGGCACCTGTCTGTGTCCCAGACACCATGTGACCAGTCTCATGAGGTTGGCACCTTTCCCTCTCATCCACACTTCCAGTCATTCCAGAGCAGCCTGCTGAGGGACCCAGTGCACTGAGAGGGGGTCCCTCTTTCCTCCCTCACCCCCTGCCCTAGCCTCAGAGGAACAGAATGGAGAACAGCAAGCAGCTTGATTCATAGACTTTATCAGCTTTTTCTCCACCCAGCAGTTTCTGCAGACAACCGAGCCTGTTTGCGGTACACACGGTTCACGCTGGCAAAGCTGGGGAGCAGTGGGGCAGGCATCAAGGTTAGGGGCGGGCAGCAGATGAGGCTGGACCAGTGGACCCCAGTGCTTGAGGAGAGGAGACTGCCAAGCAGGCTCAGGAGGAAAGGTGGCCTCAGGGAGAGGAGGGCACGTGGACAGCTGCAGGGAGGAAGTAGGGCTGGGGGCGGGCTGTGGTCACTGTCTGTCCGGGGGATGGAGGAGGCAGGACACAGTGCCTGTGTCTGTGAGGCTGGGGGTGGGGAGCCCATATACACTGTTTTGTGGCAGGAACCAGACAGACTGCTGTATAAAAGGGACTGTACAACATAACCTATGATACAATGTTTACATATGATACAAGGCTCTTTCCCTCTTTGAGTTTTAAAAAATAAATTTACAATTCCAGAGCTTTTGGTAAAAAATATGTACACCCTCAGAGCAGGAGCAGCAGCTGCTTTTGCTGTTGCCACCGCTGCCTCTTCAGAAGGGAAAGAGGTGGTGTCAGAAACGGGGGGGGGGCGGGGGGGAGGCTGTGCCCGGAAACCTCACCCAGTAGCTCCCAGGAGCGCTGGGCCCCTCGGCCCTGGAGGCCCCTGTGGGAGAGGGTGGGGGGACAGAGAGGTATGAAAGGCATCACCACAGTCTGGTTTTGCCTTGACAGCCTAGGCCATTCCCGCTGCTCTTACTCCCGGGCGCTTCCAGCCCAGGTACAGGGGTCCACCTCACTCCAGCTCTGATGGGGAGGACCAGGAGGAGTCAAGACAGGAAGAAGGATAGAGACCATGTGGTTGGTGTCCCACAGAAGAGCCAGAAGGGAGATGACAGCTCCCTTCTTAGCAGCAGACTCCCCGAAAGCAGGAGTGTGGGCAGCAGAACCCCCAGCTCCTGATGGCGCCACGTCCCACCCTGCAATGCGGAGGAAGCGTCCGGTAGGCAGCCAAGGCCTGTGTTTCCCTGAGCATCTCTTACCCTCTCATTGGAGCCCACCCAGAGACCCTGGGGAGGCCTGAGTGGGGGACCCACAAGAGCTGACAGGATGCCCCCTGCCCCGTGAACAGCTTTGCCCACAGGCTTGGGCATGCAGGGCACCCAAAGGAGCTGAGAAGGGAGTGGTGGGGGTGGGGAGAGCACGCCCACACCATTGAGGGGCCAAGTACACCAGGGTAGCACCAAACAGAAGGACCCCTCCGCACAAAACACCCTCCCGCAGTTACCGGATATACTCCTGCTTCTTCAAGGGGACAGGCGCACACAGGCACACAGACACAAGGGCGATGTGATATTCCAGTGGGGTACATCAGGGGTCCCGGCCCTGACCAGGGAGAGGCCAGACCGGGCTGGAGAGGAAGGCTGCCAACCCCTCCCACGATTCCACTCTGTGAGACAGGAGGGTGGGCCACTTTCCTGCCTGCCTGGGAGGAGGTTGGAAACTCCATCTCTGGACCAGACCTCAATGGGAGGGGACAGAGGAAGGAGCTCTCTGCCCCCTTCCCTGCGAGGGAAGAAACCAGCCAAGTGGGGTGTGGGCTGGAAGGAGCAAGGGGGAGAGGATTTCAGCAAGGTGGACAGGCTTCTGAGTCCAGGGGTAAGTCCATCTGACTCTTCCCTGAGGGGCAAGAAGTTGCCCCAGAGGAAAGGTGTCAGGGGTGGGTTGGGACATCGTGCAAAGTGCTTGAGTGCCAGGTGCCTGAGGACCTCGGCGGGGCGTCCACCGGAACCTCTGTTCTCACTGACTATTGGCCTCTAGCTTGTAGGAGAGCTCAAAGAGGAGGTTCTGGTTGTCAATGACCTGGAACTGGCGCACATAGGCCTTGGTCTGCAGGTGATGGGGCGACGCCTCCATATCCAGGCCTGGGGGTGTGACAAGAGAAAAGCATTCAGGCTCCCAGCCTCCCACCCACCCACCATGTTCTCCCTCTCCCTCTCTCCATGCATGCTGGCCAGAGGAGAGGGGTGTGGGTTGGGACAGGTGCTGGGCAGGAGGGCTCCGGGGAAGGCTAAGGAGAGAGGGTGGAGAGCTGACAAGTTTAAGGAAATCAAGAACTGAGCAGGGACTCCTCCCAGATCCCTCCCGTTCAGGCAGAGCTCTCCCTGGGAGCTCTTAGAAGCCTGGTACTCACAGAGGGGCCGGCTCCGGTATTTGCGGACTGTCCTCACTTTTTCAGCCACTGAATGCTGGGAGATGACAAGGAATGAGCTCGAAAAAGGGCTCAGAAAGAGGGTCCCCCCTCTATTACTCCCCTTGCTGTGTTCTGCTCCAGCTCTACTGCTTTGACCCTGCTCCCTCCAGGATCTGATCCTGGAGGGTCTCAGAAGAACCAAAGGAGGGGTGTAACCGGCTGGTGGGGAGAGGAAGAGTTGCGCGCGTGCACACACACACACACACACACACACACACACACACACCCCGTCCCTCCCCAGCTGCCTGTCAGCTTTGCCACCCGTGGGCGGGTTGCCACGGCAATGCCACCGGGGACAGTCAGGAGTCTGTCAGGCAAGCTGGGCACTAAGGAGAAAGGCTGCTGTCTTTAGGGGGTTGCCAGGAGAGGGGGAAGGATGCCAGCCTCCGTGCCCCGGCCACAATCAGCAGTGCCACTCACCAGCTTCTCGATGTTCACCAAACCATCGACAAGGGTCTTACTCCCCTCGTGCAGGAAAGTCAGGTCTAGGGAATAGAAGAGAAGCCCATGTGAGGAAGAAGAGAGGAGGTCCAAAGGGCCCTTCCCCTCCCCTACAACCTCTCACTAGGGGGCTCCTCTCCAGGTGGGCACTCAGAGTTGAGTGCCAGGGGTTGAGAGCCAGAACTGGGGCACGGAGAGTGTGGCCAGAAGGGCACAGGAGTGACCCTCACCTTTGAGGATCAGAGGCACGAAGGGAATCACAGGAGGTTTCATCTTGGAGATCACTTCTCGGTAGCTTTTGTGGTTCCTGCAGGGGTCCTGGCGTTCAGGGAAGAGAGGTAAAGGGGCAGATAGTGCACCTTAAAGATGTCCCCTACTCCCTCATCCTCCTGCCCTAGATCCATCTCTGATCAGAGAGCGTACGTATAGGTGTCTAGCTGGGGATGAAGTGGGGAGAGGCTTGACCCTTCTCCCTCCTCCAAGGAAAAGGGGGTAGCAATCCTCCCACCCCTCCCCTCCCAGTATGGGGTGGGGGGCAGTCTCAGGCACTAAAAACCTTGAAGGGAAGCTTGAGGAAGCAGGTTTATGGGGACAGAGGGCCTCCGAGGTACAAGTCCAGGGGCAGATAAAAGAGCTGAACCCACTCACTGTCAGGTTCTCAAATTTGCGGAACAAGTTCTTGAATTTCCCTGGCAGCTTCTGTAGAGAGTTTGAAGGAAGGAGAGGAAATGTCAGAGTGGAGCTCCTTGGGTTTCACGGCAGCTCTGGCTAATCCCCCGGTGTCAGAGGGGGAAAGGGCCTGGCTGTCTTGCAGGGGGCTGGCAAGCTGGTGGGTGGGGAAATAGAGTCAGCCCTTGATGCAGTCCCGGGAGCTTGAAGAGCCCACGGGAACGAATTACACTGGGGAATTCGAGTCTCTGCTTAGGTATACGCCATGCGCGAGGGGACTCGCTGAGTGCTGGCTGCAATCCAGTGTCCAAGCCTGCCATCTGGCCTGGGCTGCCTGCCCCCACTCGGGTGGGGATTCCGGCTTTTTACTATTTTGCACAGGACAGTGTCCGTTAGCCAAGCTGAGTGCCCGCCCGGGGGCTGGACCTGCCAGAAGAGGGCGCCTCCCTCCGCTCGGCACAAAGACTCCCCACCGGCCAGGAGCAGCCGCCTGGGTGAACCCCGGAGGCCAAGGACGCCCGCCGCACCCCCCGCCCCACACAGGCGGGAGGAGAGGAAAGGGCAGCCGTGTCATCACCTCCCAGGTGAGCCGCAGGCGGCTAACCGCGGCGTTGTCCAGCCCCATGACCACGGCGTAGAAGGACAGCAGGTCCTGGTTCTGCTTGCAGCTGCGTGGGGTGGGAGGCGGGGTCAGCGAGTGCCGCGGGGGCGGGGGAGCCTTCCGCGCCCCCCCACCCCGCCGCCCGCCGCCAGCCGGCCGCACTCACATGGCTGCGATCTTGAGGAACTTCTTGAGCAGCTGCGCGCGCTTGCCCGGGGCCTCGCAGAGCAGCACCTCGGTGGCCACCCAGTGCGTGACCTCGCTGCAACGCTGCAGCAGCAGCTCCAGGTTGGCCGTCTCCCGGCGGCCGCGCTCCCCGTGGAACACGTAGTCCACGAATTCCAGCTGCACCCACGGTGGGCGTGGTGGAGGGGCCGTGGCGAGGGGGCGGAGGGGGGGGATGTAGGGAGATGGGGGGGGATGTAAGTGGCCGGGTGGCCACAGGACGGAGGGAGGGGCCGAAGGGCAGGGGCGGGAGGGTGGCAAATAGGAGAAAACGGGGACAAGAAAGGTTGCAACAGAGATGGGGGGCGCGGAGCAACATTAATAATACTCTCCTATCCCCTGAGCACTTACTAGGTGCCAGGTCCTTGAACCATCTGATAGACATTACTGTGACTGCCTTATTTTCTTTCTTTAACAGAGAATAGCTTAAAGAGAGTAACCATGGATCAGGTTCTATGTAAGACCCACCTTACTAAGGGGGTCTCTCTCGTTGCTGTTTTTGTTTTTTTTTTTTTTTTCCCCCAGATGGGGGACATAAGGCTCAGAGGGTCTGGGGTGAGTTGGGGTGAATTGCCCAAGGGCACCCTGCCAGCCAGCCTTCTAACCCCAAGTTTAGCTGCACAGCCTGCCAGTCTCCAGAACCCCCAAAAATGGCACATTTCTCCCTCCAGCCCCCCAGCCCAGCACTAGTTACAGTCCCCACCTCATGCACACATCGGAACAGCTCCCAGTGGAAGGCAGTAAGGTGGTTGGCAACGTCCTCGGGCTCCACTCGGTGGATCTCTGTGTCTCCAGGGGAGACCTGGATCTCCTCTGGGAGGGGCATCTGGTGGCAGGCAGGGGCACAGGGGCTGGACTCCACTCTGGGCTTGTGAGGTTCTGCCCATAGCCCCTCTGGGCCCTGGCTCCCAGCCAAGGCCTTGGGACAGAGTTCTTACCAGGGCCTCATAGCTGTCCCGCGTGCAGGCAAACAGGTGGCTGTTGATGCCCAGTGTGGTGAAGACACAGTCTTCAGTCGGCTGGAGAAGGACCTTCTCTGCAGGAGAACGAGCTGCTCTGCCTCGGCCCCAGCCACCTGCACCCTCACACAACCCAGCCACGGTCGCCATCCCATCTGGAAACTCCTAACCCTGCACAGACACATTCTAGACTAATGGAACTTGTGTTAGGTTACCATCAGTTTATGCCATATTTACCTGACATTTTTCAAATAATGAATTCTCTTACAGTCATAAGCTCTTTTTTAGACCCAATATTCTTCCACAGTTCTTCTCTCATTCTATCAGCTGGGGGACACCAGGACTTTTTTCCCCCTTGCCTCAGAGGAAGAGAAGGCTCCGGCGACATTGCAGGATTCCTGCCTTCCCATAGAAGTTGGAGGCCCACCCTGTGTTTTTAGCCTCAAAAACAGCATCCTCAGATGGTCTGGGAGGTTAAAGAACCAGATCCCAAGGTGAGGAAAGGCGAGCACCAGAATCCGAATCCAAGTGTCTTGGACCAGTGCTTTCCAAACTTCAATATGCATAGGGATCGCCTGGGAATCTGGTTAAAATGCTCATTCTGAATCGGTGGGTCTGGAGCAGGGTCTGAGGTACGTCAGCACCCCGGCCCCAGAGCACCGGGCTTGTGAGTTTCTCCTCTCCTGCCGGCCCCCACCACCACCCAGCCCAGCTCTTCCCAAGCCTCACCTCCGGAGGAAGCCACAGCCACCAGGATGAGGGAGTCCTCACGCCCCGCAGGCTCCTCTGAGTACTGCAATTTCTCTGTCACAGAGCCCAGGATGTCCTGCACAGACGCCGAGAGGCGGCTGCGGATGGTCACGTAAGAGTGGTCAGGCATGTAGACCCGGCAGAAGACTGGGCAGAGACAGGGAGGTGGCTTGGCATAAGAAGGCAGAAGGGCAGCACGGACACAACCCCCTCAGCACACGTCGGTTTCCCCGCCCGTCTCACCCCTAACCTTCAGTCAGCTGGCTTCTGAGAAAGAGGCTATCAAAAGGACAGGTTCCACTCCACCAGGAGACTCCACTAAAGGTGCCCTAAAACCCAGACGCCCTGGAGGGCCCTCTGAGCCGCTCCAGAAGCTCTGCCCAGCTTGACGCCCACACTCACTCTCATCAGAGCCCCGGAAGGCCACTCGGGTCTGCAGGCAGGAGTCAATCCGGCGGAAGTGACGGAAGAGTGGCTTCACTTGCTTGCTGGGTGGCTGGCTTTCCTCTGGGATCCTGGCATGGACACAGCTGGGCGTCAGGAAGTCCTGTCACACATATGGAGCTCCAGGCAGGCAGCATCAAACAAGGGATTATCAGAATTGAGTCAAGGATGCAGCAGCACCAGGTTCAGAAAGTGGTAAAAGAGGTCAGAAGGGAGATAGTGACCAGCATGGGACGACTGTCCAAGTGACCCAGATCATATGTCACCTCTTCCGTGAATTCTCTGATCCACCCCACCCACCAGGAAAGGTCACTTTTTGGCATCAACTGCTGTAAGACACTGGGTTAATATTTGTTCATGTGTGTATCTTATCTCTTCTGCAAGACTGAGAGCTTTTGAGGGCTGGGCTTACTTCTTCCTGGATTTTTTTTTTTCCCTACCCTTCAGGCCTAGCACACTACTTGGCACATGGTAGGCGTAGGTCATCCTCTGTTTCCTGAATTTTGCCATCAAGGACTTTACAGCCTGGGAGGGAGACAGATGTGGATACAGCTACTTCTAACACGAGACAGGAGGTGTTAGGTGATATAACAAAGGTACAAGGAGAGTTCTGTTGGCAAGAGGGAGGGGGAACTTTCATCAGGAAGATGTTTTTGACCGTGGCCTTGAAGGACAACAGAAAGAGAAGGCAGTACAGGGTGGTCCTTCTTGGGTGGACCATGTGAATGATGGCAAGACATTAGAACTGGGAATGCCCAGGAGTTCAGGGAATGGTGGGGTGTATAGCGAGTGTCATGGGGGCTGGGAGATGTGGGAGATGAGGCAGGAAGCATTGGCAGAAAGGCAGGGGTGTTGAATGCTTGCGAGGGTGTTACAATTTGAGGGCGCCTGGGTGGCTCGGTCGCTAAGCGTCCGCCTTTGGCTCAGGTCATGATCCCAGGGTCCTAAGATCAAGCCCCACATCAGGCTCCCTGCTCCATGGGAGAACCTGCTTCTCTGTCTCCCACTCCCTTGCTGTGTTCCCTCTCTCAGCGTCTCTCTCTCTCTGTCAAATAAATAAATAAAATCTTTTTTAAAAAGGGGGTGGTGGGGCGCCTGGGTGGCTCAGTGGGTTAAGCTGCTGCCTTCGGCTCAGATCATGATCTCAGGGTCCTGGGATCGAGGCCCACATTGGGCTCTCTGCTCAGCAGGGAGCCTGCTTCCTCCTCTCTCTCTCTGCCTGCCTCTCTGCCTGCTTGTGATCTCTCTCTGTCAAATAAATAAATAAAAAAAAAAAAAAGGGGGTGGTGTTGCAATTTTGTCTTGTGGGCAATAGGGAGCCCTGGATGTTTTTGGAATAGGAGCGTGATGTTGTCAAACTGGAAAGATCTCTCTGGTGTCAGCATAAGAAGGGAGAGGATGCAAGACCATGAGCTGAAGCCCTGGGCAGGAGGCTGTGGCAATAATCCAGGTGAGAGCTAATGAGGTCGAAACAAGGGTTGCGCTGGTGGGAATGGAGAGGAGAGAGACTGAAATGGTCAGAGGGATGGATCGATGGATGGATGGATGGACAGACAGATGGACAGATGAAGTGGAGTCCTGAAGCTGGCTCACATTGGCTCATGAGAAGAGATTGTGAAATTTGGGGAGATTCTGCCTATAGATTTTAAAACAGCCATATAAAATATAAAAAATATAAAATATAAAGAAATGTTTTATGAACATCTACCCAAATTATCACCACAAAGGTAGCACCCTGTTTTACTACATTTTGCTATTATCTATGCTCCTTTTTAAGATTTTATTTATTATTTGACAGAGACACAGCAAGAGAAGGAACACAAGCGGGGGAGTGGGGGAGAGAGAGAGAGAGAGAGAGAGAGAGAGAGAAGCAGGCTTCCCGCTGAGCAGGAAGTCTGATGCAGGGCTCGATCCCAGGACCCCGAGATCATGACCCAAGCTGAAGGCAGATGCTTAACAACTGAGCCACCAGGTGCCCCGCTATTATCTATGCTCTCGGTGTTATTTTCCTCTCTTGTATTTGTATGCTGAAAATCTGTGTAATGGCCCGCCACTGCACATTTCTTCCCAAGTTCACATTCAGTATTCACATTCACATGTCAGTAACTGGAAATCAGCCAGCGAGAGAATTTACACCATGCAAATCAGGAAAAGCTACAAATAGGGGCTCTCTCTCTTTTCCCCCCCAAAGTGCTAGTTGTTAAATATGTCCCAATACACCATCAGATTAACAAAGAAATGGGTGGGAGAATGGACAAGACAGTGACTGGAGGCTGTGCTCTGTGCTACCCTCTAGCAAGAGAAAGCTGCTGAAATAAAACCACACTGGAGTCAAAAGGCCAGAGGCAGTCCCCGCGACAGAGGAACATGGGGGACTTCTGTCCTATCCCCTCCCCCAACCCATTCCCCTCACTTTAGCTCCACTGTTTCCACAAGCTGGTGCAGCCTCAATGTGTCCTCTCGGAGGTCCTGGTAAAGGGACTCATCCTTCATAATCAGCAGGTACAGATCCTGGGGAGCAGAGGAGAGAGAAGATGAAGACAGGGGTCTCATCCTAAGCTTCGCTATTGGCAAGGGCTGGGGAAGCATCTCCATGTCTTTGAACATAGAGGAACCATATAAACTGAGGTCCACTGGCATCTTCTCCTTCCAGGTACCCAGCTTGAGGAGTATGGCTCCTTCAAAGGAGTCCCTTCTAATAGCCTGCTCACCCGCCTTCTCTTCCCAGGCCCACCTTGATGATGCGGCCGGCCCCCTCTTCCTCCTGCAGCAGCCCCTGGTATGTGTCCAGGAAATGAAGGAGCATGGCTAGACAAGCCTGCTTCCGGCCCAGCCCCTCGGGGCCCTCCATGCCTCCTGCCCAAACAAAACTGACCCCTTAGTTAAGAAAAATCCCTGGGCAGGCAGACCAGAAGAAACTGGGAAGGGAGATGAGAAGCAGTGGGTGGTTAAACCCTCCCATATATTCTCTAATCTGGGGCCAGGGACAAGGGAAGTGCAGGGGTCCCTGGAAACAACACCCCTTTATATCCCAGCCTGGGCTTTTGCTCAGAGTAGGTAGGGATGGCCCCCACTTGACCATGTCCATCTGACAGCATCCTGCCTGTTTGAATTTCACTTGGAGGTATCCCGCCGGGACCCACCCAACCCCTGACCAGTCCATAGCCTGGAGCTGATAAAGGCCAGGGGTGCTTACCACAAACCTGACCATACCTCAGTGTAAGGCCTAGGTTTCTAAGAGAGCCTATGGTATTCTACTCAGTGGCGTGACATGTACAATTAGATCCTAAAATAACTCAGTGAGAGGCCCTGTGCTTACATGAGACCCTACAAAGAGCCTGGCCAGTGGCCTGCCTCTAGCAGACCCCAATGAAGCACAGCCGTGACCTGATGTTTACATTGGACCCTATAATAACCCACTTGCAACCAGATGTTTAGAGCAACAGTTCAGTGGGGAGAGGGCTCTCTTAATAGAATAATAACACCTTATGTTGGCCCAAGGCTCTGCAGTCTCCAGAGCGCTCCCACATCTACTATCAGATTCATCTCCCCAGCAGCCCCATAGGGAGGCAGGCAGGTGCTGTTTATCCCCTTTTTACAGAAGAGGAAACTGAAGCCCCAGGAGGTTAGGTGGTCTGCCCAAGGTCACACAGCGGGTGAGTAAAACCCCTGGAATTGAAACCCAGGTGTGTTTCCTAGGGAAGCGCTGAGAGCCCATATCACAGGTGGGGTAGGGGGAGTGGCTTCCTCCTGACCTCCCCTATTGCAAGCTCCATAAAAGGATATTACTGGTGTAGCTCCTGCAGAAATTTCTCCGTGGGGAGGAAGAGAGAATGGGTGAGGACGATGTCATCCAGCAGGATATCTGTAGAGATCAATTGGTGCCACTGACGTCAGGCGGGCACTTCCAGGACCCGACTGGACACTCCCTACCAGCCCCCTCTTGCCTCCTAGACTGAGTTCTCCTTTGCCAGGCTGGAGCCCCAGCCACCTGCCCCGTCATGCTCTACACAAGCGTGTGCACACACACGTGTGAAGGTTCTGGGCAGCCGCTGCGGGGGTGGGGTTGGCAGCTGCCAAGGCAGCTGGAGGGAAGGAGGGGGCGCCCTTTGATGGCCACGCCCACTACTCTTCAATGTATGTGGGAAGTTGGTCAGATAATATGGCAAGCTTGAGATCTGTCCCCAAAAAGAGGTCGAACACAGAAGTGTCTCTAGACAAACAACTTCCAAACACAGAGGTTAGGGTCAGTGGTGTGTGTGTGTGTGTCTATGTCTGTATCCCTCCTCCCCTCCCTATTCCCTACATAACAGCTCTGAGTTCCAACTGGGCAGGTGAGAACCAGCCCCATTAAAAAGGAGAGGGAGTGACTGCCATCTCTTTGATCCCAAAAGCCTTTAAATAGAAGCCCTATGTCCTCTGGATGCCCAGAGATGGAAGGGTTAATGATGGAAGGGTGGAGGGGAGTGGCTCTCACCACTCTTTTCCCCTCCACTCCCCCATCTGGGCCTGGCTCAGCCAGTCAGCCAGGTACAAGGTCGCCCTGACTTGCAGCCAGCCCTGGGGTGGGGCAGGGCAGCCTGACACATGGAGACAGGCAGGGAGCAGGGAGGGAGCCAGGTGTCCTCACCAGGACAGGTTAGGGCCAGGTCCCCAGGCACTGCCCCAGGACAAAACCAAGGCTTCTGACGTCCCTTGGCTCCCTGGCATTTGGTTCTAGCCATGAAAGTAGAGGAGGAGAACAAACACCAGATCCTCTACCTGAACTGTTGCGGTTCACCAATGAGAAACTGAGGCCCAGAGCTGAGAGGGACCTGCTTGGAGCCAGAGTAGGAACCCAGACTCCTGAGTCTTTGTTCTTTTCTCAGTATGCCCCAGGCAAGCAGCGTGTCAGCGTAGAGCACAGTGGTGAGATTGGGCTACTTAGATGTTTGCAAGCCTTGGACTGGTTTGAGGATAACTTCTATAAGTCCCCTCCTCCCACACACTCTGGGAGGAAGCCAAGATGGTTTGAGAACATTGGTTATACTGGAGAATATCAGAGTGGCATGTTAAGGTGATTCTCATTTACCCTGGGACTGGTCTGAGGTTCCCCAAAGCAGTTACTTTGCAGATCTAGCTTGCCAGCCCAGGTAATAGGGTGACGAGCAATTCAAGAGTCCTTCCCCATGAGAAACCAGGCAGAGTGTACGGCACCAGGTCTCTCTGGAAGGGGAAGGACAGGTTCTCCCTTTCCTCTTTGCCTTGCTACCCTGCTATGTTCTTAAAGTGAGTCTGAGAGCCCCAGCCGTGACCCCTGGCTCCAAAGGTGGTGATGAGGTATAGGGCTGCTCAATGTCCTTCCCATCTATCTCAAGGGAGATCGGAGCCAGAGCAAAGGAAGAGGAACACGGGGCAGAGTGGGGGAGATGGTGCTATGGGGGCTACAGTTTGGCGTCTGCCTCTTCCAAGCCAGGCTCTGGTCCAAGGCACAGCCTCCCCAGGGAATGTGTCATAGAGACACAGGGTGTGTGGTGTAGGCGGGAAGTTATGGTTAGGAGAGCTGTATGTGTCTGATATTTTTCTAATTAAATCCAAAAGGTGTCAGCTCCCCAGGGCAACGACAGCTGAGCCAAGGAGAGGACCCAGGTCTTGAGGAAAATCTAGGGGAGCGGTGTCCTATTCCACAAGCCTAGGTCCAGGCTCCCCGCAGAGGTCTAAGAGCAAAGTGTGAAGCCCCCATCTTTGGGCCCTCAAGCAGGGATCCCCTCCCCAGACCTTGCTGGGCTTAATGAAATGCAGAGAGGCAGACCTAAAGACCCGTCATCGCTCTTCTACCTCCACCACTAACCAGCAGTTTGGGGCCTCAGTTTCCTCACAGTCCCCTTAGTAGGGGTGCTGGTGGGGAGTGGTGAAACAGCATCATCATTTAGGGAATAAGCTTCTCAGGGTGTGGCTATTATTTTTTAAAGAGGCCTGTGCTGAGGCCTGCCTTGGGAAGGGCGGGAGTTGGAGGGGCTCAGAACCACCCCACCCCACCCCACCCCCCGCCAGGGATGCTGCAGGGTCCTAATGTCAGTCTCTGTCCAGCCGCCTCTCCCCTGACAAGCAACTTTTGCGCCAGCCCCCGACTAGAACACCTCCTTCCCCACAAGCTGCTAAGGACAAAGCATCCCTTTGCCCGAGCCCAAAAGGCAGCTTGGGCCCTGAGCCTGTCTGGCACTGCCCCACTGAGTGGGCTAGTCCTGTGCTCTGGGGCTTCTAGACAGAATCAGGGACTCCTAGAAGGTCTTTCCGGTCTTGGAAAGCACCTCTTGGGGTGGGGGCTGGGGGGTGGAGCTGGGTCTGCCCTGGGCAGCTTCCATCTTAGTGTGTCAGGCCTTAATTTGGGGCCCCCGAAGGAGGTAGTCAACATCAGGGACCCATGAGAATCTGTGGGTAAAATAGCCAGAAGGGAAGGGTGGCTTAAGGAGAGAAAGAGGTTCAGCTTCTCCAGCTGGTGGTTGAGGCTGCTACAGGGAGGAAGGTGGCACTGCCGCCTCCCTTCTGCATAAAGGTCTGTTCCCCTCCCAGGCCGCTGCCCCACTTCAGCTGACCGCTCAACCCCATACCGAGGCTCCCAGCAGAGCCTCCTCCCCCCCCCCCCGCCCCCCCGCCCCCCCCCCGCACTGTCCAAGGGCAAGGAAGAGGAACCCGGTGGCAACCCTCTACTCCGGGATGGATGGGCCTTACCTGAGGCGGCGCTGTCCCTGGTGGCCCCTCCAGCGAGCCGCTCCAGCACCCGGTTCAGAAGATGCTCCGGCCGCTCGGGGGCGCCCAGGGGGGCCCAGGGCGGGGAAGTCAGGGGTTCACCCGGGGACAGCTCGTCAGAGGAGTACGAGGAAGGGGAGCGCAGGGGACCCCCTCCCCCGAGCGGCCCGGGCCCCGGCACCTCCTCGAGCTGTAGCCAACAGGGCCCTCCGCTGCCAAGCTCCTCCGAGACCCCCGCCGGCTCTCCCCCTTCCTCTTCAGGGGGCGGCTCCAGCCCCGGCTCGGCTGGGGGCTCCCGGAGGAAAGCGGGGAGCAGCAGGCGAGACACGCTCTGACGCCGCTGCAGCGGCCGCAGTCCCCCGGTTGGACCGCCGCCCCCGCCAGGTCCCCCGCCCCCGCCAGGGCCGCCGCAGCTTCCCGGACCCCCGCCGGGACCTCCCGCCACCGTTCGCCCCGCCAGCTGCGACGTCTGCTTCTTCAAAAATTTCTCCAACGGCTTCATGCCCCCCCCCCCCGCCCCTCTCCTCGGGGCCGCCGGGGGACCCAGGTGTCCCAGGCGCGGGCGGGGGGGGCGGGGACACGATGCTCAGAGCCGGAGGGGCAGAGCGGAGGGCTGTGCCAGGCGCCGGACTGAGGTCCAGAGGTGCCCGAGGCTCGCTGGCCGGGGTCCAGTGGCCAGTGGCCGGGGGAGGTGCCAGAGGGAAAGAGTGCTCTCTGTTAGTCGCCCCCCATGTCGGTCGCAGCCGGCACGCTGCGCGGAGGGCGGATAGGCTGCGGGGCCAGTGCCCCGGGCTCTGCGCTCCTGGGCCGGGCTGCGGCGGCAGAGACAGCGGGCGGAGCGCAAGGCTGAGAGAGGACGCGGCGGCGGCGGCGGCGGCGGCGGCGGCGGCGGCAGCGGCGGCGGCTGCGCTCCTGGCCCGGGGGAAGGTGGCAGAACTGAGACCGCGCCCCCTCCTCCAGTCTCCGCCCAGTCCCCGCCCCTGCCCTTTCTGGACCCGCCCCCTGGGCCGCGCGAGGCTTGAACTTGGGCGCTGGGGCTGGCCTGGAGGGAAATAGTAAGGGGCTGAATGGGATTGGCTTCAGGGCAGACGCAGAAGTTAAGGGCAAAGGTGATGTAGTGATTTACCAACGGAGAGTGAGTCCTGGCTTGGGGGCCAACAGGGGCTCTTAAGTATCATTTCAAAGAAGTAGGGCAGGTATGTGGCCTGCACAACTTGGTCTTACCTGTACCCAGGTGAGGCTTACGAAGATTGCTGATTGGGTGTCCATCACTCTCAAACCCAACAGTATGGTTTGTTGCCGTATTTGTGGTCTTTATGTTCCTTCTATAAGAAGGGCTGGAAAGGCTTGGGGTAGATTGGCATTGGCACTGGGGGCGGTGCCCATCTGCCCCTTCTGGTAGGGCACAATAGGTGGTGAGGGCCTGGCTTGCGAGAGGCAGGTACTGGCAGGCAGGTAGGAGCCAGGCAGGGAGCAGCAGGTTGTGGCAGGTCTAGTTGGGCTGAGAAGAGACAGGAGGCAGTGGGGAGGAGATGAGTACAAGGGCACCTGAGCCCAACTGGCAGCAGGGGAGGGCAGGGTCATGGAGATGAGTGACAAGCTCTAGAACTTCCAACCAACATCATTAAGCATAGAGCGCCCCTCCAGAGCTGACATGGCCATGAAGGAGGGAAAGTGGTGCCAATTTGCACTCTAAATGATCTTTATTCCTGATGCCTGTGCCAGGAGCATTCTGTCCCTAAGGATACGCTACCCCAGAAGGAGGAGGTGGGTGTAGAGACACACTCAGTGTAAACACATCAAGGTTAAAGCAACAAGGTGGAGAAGTGGCACCAGGTTCCAGAGGGATTGAAGCTCCTTGGACAATGCCCCACCCCTGTTTACTGTGCAGGAACCAGGCAGGGACAGGAATGCTAAAGGCTGGGAGTGGTGGTTGAACTGAACAGGGTGTGTACTACACACGTCACTGTGTGTGCATATCTGGTCCTATGTGTGCTAGCGCATGTGTTCACAGAACTAAAGCTTTGCACACCCATCTGTTTGTGGATTTGGAAAGGGAACAGTAAAAAGGAGAGAGCAGTTTTGGCTAAGAAGCAGGAATAGAGATCCAAGTATTGGTTTGCTGGGTTCCATTTATTGGACACCCTACTATCCCTGGGGTTAAGAGGAGAAACCGGCTGGAGTGACTACGAGCTCCCCAGGCATTTTGCGAACCAAATAAGAAGAGGAGAGGGCTCCACTCCCAGCACATGCCACAGTTACCAGATTAAGCTGGTTGCCTTGGTAACCTCCTCTCTGGGCAGGATTTGGGATTGTCGGTGAGGAAGGGGGAAGAATTGGGGAGTGTGGAGGGTGTGGGGGTTGGAAATAAGAGGCAGAGACACTTCTGGGAACTGAAAGCTTGGGGACTAGGACCCCACCACCCCTGCAACTACTCAAGGATATTGGACAGAGACTAAGTCCAAGGACTTGTATCAGGAAGGAAAGCCAGCATTGAGTCATGGCCCTCCTAGAACAGTGGTTCTCGCCCTAAGTGCACATTGGAATCCAGGGGAAATTCTCAAAAATACTGATGCCTAGGCCACACTCTAAATCAATTAAATCTTTAAAGCGAGGCCAATGTTTCTGGTATTTTTTAAAGATCCCCAAGTGGTGCTTGCTTCAGCAGAACACATACTGAAGTCAGAACTATATAGATTAGCTTGGTCCCTGCACAAGGATGACATGTAAAAGATCTCCAAGTGATTCAAATAGCTAGGGTTGAGGATCACTGCCCCAGAGGGACAATCCAACCTGAGTGGGCTGCCAGTGCTGGGAGACAACTTCAAGATTTGAAGTTCCTACTGTTCTGGGTCACTCACAAGGTAACAGGCCTATGTGTTGACTCCACAGAGGATGGGGGTTGGCGTGGAAGAAATAGTGGGAGAGTGGTATGATTAACAGCTGTTGAGAGGGTGGCAAAGCAACTCTGAGCCCCTAAAAGGGGATGGGGCAAGGCTACCTAAAGCTGATCTGTCTGCCCTTTATACTCCCTTTCTGCCCACCGAGAGGCAAACTGGTAGGGCTGACAACCTGGGGGCTTTGCTGAGCTTGAGTTTCTTCTCTTCTCCCTGAGCTTGTTACCAGGGCAACAGAGCGCAATGGGATCTAACATAGGACCGGGGAAGCAAGAGGCAGGGGTGAAGGGGAAGCATCTTAACACAGTCATTCCTGCCGCCAGTAACCTACCAAGACTGGCTGGCATTCTTTGCATGACCCCAGGAGATCAGGCCCATAGTTACCCATCACCTTGTGGAGGAAAGCAAATGGACATGAAGAGGAATTAGGGATAGGGTTTAAGAGTCATGGTCCGCCAGCTCAAGCAGCAGTACCAAAGGATGTAGGGGGAGTCCCAACTGTTTTAAGGTGGACACTAGGATGTCCATGCCCTCAGTGTACAAGGATTTGGGGTACCCAAGAACAGTTGCCACCAGCTCCACATTAAAATTTAACTGCACCCCCCCCACACACACACACTGGGATCAACCTCTGTAGTAAACTTCTGCCCCACCCAGGATCTGAAAGGAAACAAAGCTTGGAGCTGACCTGGGCACATCAGGGACCCAGCCAGTGGCCTTGTTAAGATAAGCCACAGCTGATGGTCTCAATTGCTTCTCTTTACCTCAACGAAGACTGAGCGAAGCCTCACTCTTAGGCTATGGTTCTTGGTACGTTAGTGCCAACGTGTCTTTACTTTTCAAGAAGAAAGCTAACCACCTGTGCCTCCCTCATCTAGGACCTGGTACAGTTGCACTGACACCGGGCACATTACTCACTGGCTAAACACTAACAAAGGTGAGAAGGATAACTACATTTCATTACTTTTTCTGTCCTTGACACTCCCAATCTAAGGGACTGAGTGGTATCCTGGGACTATGAGGCGATGGAGTTAGGAGAAAATAACCAGTGGGGAGCACAGACACACCTGTGGGCTCCTCACCTCTCGGGGCTTCCATTTCACAAATCCTGCATTGGCAGGAGTTGTGACTGTGGCTCTGGGGAACCAGCAAGACCTCTCCTATCCTTCCCAAATCAAGACTCATGCAAAACACTGGCAAAGGAGCCAAGTTTACAGTCTAAATTTTATTATCTCCAAGTCACAATGCTGATCACAAATGTGCACCCTTTAAAACGGTAACAAACAACAACAACAACACACATGGAGAAATTCTTGCAACGAAACACAGTGGACCAACAGAGACAACTGTCACAGTGTCTTAAGGTCTGGGAATCTGGGCATGCTGCCCACAGGCTTGTGGAGACATCTTCAGGTTTAAGGCAAAGGGGACAGCCTACAAAAGGCACAACCATCAGCCACCTCTGGAAGAATCTCTTAGTTATTTCCTCCTTGGAGTTTACAGCTTGAGTGCCTCTCCCCACTCCCCACCCCACACCTGTGACTCAAAGAGTGGTTAGATTAGCTGCTGGAGAGAAGGAATAGAAACAGTGACATTACTTGGGGAGACAGCCACCACCATCTCCCTCACGTTCTGTAGGACTGGGACAGTGGCCAAGTTACTCCCGGCAGACGCAAGTGCTGCAGCAACAGGAGTTTCTCCTGCAGAGGCAGCAGGGGAGTGGTTCAGCGCCGTGGATAGGGAGGAAGAGGGAGGAACCCTTGCCCCGAAAGTGACTGGTTTCCTTAGGCCTGAAGCCCAGATGTGGTATCTTCTGTTTGCAAGGACAGGAGCAGAACTTGGGGAAAATCAGGTAGTAACATCTAAAACACTTGTAGCAGGAAAGACATGGAGAAGAGCAACCGTAAAGTACAAGGTAGCTTGCTGGACAGTATCTGCCTCTAGAGAGATGCATTGGTCCACAGCAACTGGAAAGGGGGTGTCATAGGAGGGATGGAAAGAAGAGAAGCAGGGCCCTCTAATTCCACTTACCTCAAAGACTGAGCCCTGAGGACTATATGAATACAGTCCCCTAAGATGCAAGGCTTACTCCACTTTCCCTTTCTCACAAAAGCATCTGGTTTGCCATCTCTCTCCACTGTAGAGACTTTGCCCTCAAGTAGAGGACTGATGCCTACCACAGTACAGGGACTGATGGAGGCTCAGATTCCTGAAAACAGAAGTCAAGTTGGGCTCCTACCACACACTTTGAGCTTTTCTCCACAATGAAACACTCTGTGGACGGCTCTGCTTCCACAGGGTTAGAGGAATTAAGAGAATCCAAGTATACAACAACAAAGGACGGCCAAAAATGAAAGGCCACCTCTTTGCAGGCTTGGTGGGGGAAAACTGGCTGGTAAAATTTCAATTATCTGGGATGCAGGGAAAATCCAAAAGGGAAACCAGAGGAGCTAGAAAATCAGAAGAATTAACCTGTCTCATTTAAAGGCAGAGAGAGAAAGAAACTAAATGAATAAATAGCAAGCCAGGCTTTAAAAACGAACATCTTAAGAAACAAAACAAACAGGAACGAGCTTCCCTGGGAGAAGACACTTGAATTTCCCAG